AACATGACTCTCAAATGTAATTACATTCCCTCTACTAGCTATCAGAACCCACTGCCGTTGGGTCATTTCTGACTCATAATCATGCTGTAGGACAAAGTAGAAGTACCTTATCGAGTTTTCAAGACTGTAATCTTTATGGGAAATGACTGCCATATCTTTCTCCTGAGGATCATCTGGTGGATTCGAGCCACAAAACTCTCACATAGCAGCCTACACCACCAGAGCTCTTTCCCACAGCTTTAGTGATTCGGATTTCTGCACATAATTTGGAAACACCATTGAATTCACAGCAATCAAGAGTTATATGCCATCCATCCTACCCTATTGAAACTATTTACTTTGAAATAGAACGGAAAATAGGAATGAACCAGAGCTTTCGACCTTAGATGGACAAGTTATTTTTACTGAAAATATGATTTTTTATGTGACCTAGAGAAAATGTGCATAAATGTATTTTAAAAATAACAAATCTTTCAGGAGTTAAAGCACTGAGTGGGTCTGGTCTATTTTCTATTCATCCACTTTGTGAGCATGAGAAATTTAAAAAGATTTCGTGTAAAACATATATTATTTTCTTTGAATTGCGGGAGTTGTTGAGATTTTAGGGATTATTGCTTGTAAAATTGAAGAAATGCACAGAGAGTAAACTGTGGGGAATATGTTCAGAACCGTTAATTAGTGGGCGAGTGTGTTGTATGTAAATTTGTGTGTGTGGGGGGGGCATTTCCTGAGGCTGCAAAACTAAATATCACCAAGTGGGTGAGTTTCAAGAACAGAAATTTACACAGTTTAGGAGTCTAGAATTTGCAATTCAAGGATTCAACTCTAGGGAAGCTTCTGTTCCTTTTAGCATCTATAACTCTGTTTTCTTGCACTCTTTCATTGCTTGTAGATCCTTCATCACCACGCATTAGCATTCTCTCTGTTTTCCATTATTGTAAGATACCACTCAGAATTGTGGTTGTCTTTTCATGCACTTGCTATCTATCATAGAGTTATACAATAAGCAAGTATGACATAAGAAGAATGGATACATTTCATTTGTGGTATTGGGGAATAAATACCAAATATCCCATTGACTACCAATAAACATCATATGCAAAGGCAGTGGTGATGAAGGAGGACATTCAGGCTGCTCTGAAGGAATTGGCAAAAAACAAGGCTCCAGGAATTGATGGAATACCAATTGAAGTATTTCAGATAAAAGATGTTGCCCTGGATGTATTCACGAGAATTTAGAGGACAACCACCTGGCCACTGACAGGAAGAGAGCCATATTTATTCCCATTCCAAAAAAAAAGGTGCCCCGACAGAGTGTGGGAATTATCAAACATACATAGGGTCGCTATGAGTCGCAAACAACTCGATGGCACATAACAACAACAACATCACTAATATCACACACTAGCAAAATCCTGCTAAATCTTATCCAGAAACAACTGGAACAACACATCAGCAGAGAACTACTGAAATACAAGCTGGGTTTAGAAGATGTCTTTGCACTAGAAACATTATTGCCAGTGTCAGATGAATCTTTGCCGAAAGCAGAGAGTACCAAAAGAATGTCTGTGTTTCATTGACTATGCAAAGACATTTGACTGTGGATTACAACAAATTGTGATTAACCTTGAGGAGAATGGGAATCCTAGAACACTTGATTGTGCTCCTGAAAAACCTATACTCAAATCAGGAAGCAGTCCTTAGAACAGAGCAAGGAAACACTGCGTGGTTCAAAAACCAGGAAAAGAGTGCATCAGAGATGTGTCCTGTCTCCGTACCTTTTCACCATATGCAGAACAGATCATTTAGGAGGTGGACTTCATAAAGAGGAGTGTAGCATCAGCATTAGAGGAAGACTCATCAACAGCCTGCAATATGTAGATTACACAACCTTGCTTGTTGAAACTAAGGAGTGCCTTAAAGAAGGTGCTGCAGAAAGTCAAAGACTGTAGTCTTCAATATGGATTGAAACTCAATATCAAGAAGACAAAGATTCTTACCATTGGGCCAATTGCCAGTGCCATGATAGATGTCGAAGAGATTGAAATTGTTAACAACTACAGCTCGTTAGGTTACACATTCTTGGTACCAGCAGAGAGGAAATCAAAGACAGGAATTATACTTGAAAACTCTGTTGTCAGGGACCTCACCAAAGCAATGATGTCAGTCTAGAGACTAATGTGTGCTTGATCCAGACCACGGTCTTTGTAATTACTTATGATGAATCAGAGATCTGGTCAATGATTAAGGATGACAGAAGAAGGATCAATGTGATTTGTGCTTGAGAAGAGTATAATGTATCACCAAGAGAACAAACAGTTCTGTTTTGGAGAGGGTGAAACCAAGTTTCTCCTTGAAGGCAAGGATTTTGAAGCTTTGTCTCCCATACTTTGGGCATGTGGCTAGGAGGAACCAGTCCTTGTAGAAGGACATCATTCTTGGAAGAGTTGAGGGACAGCACAGGAGAGGAAAACCTCAGATTAAATTGATTGATACAGTAACTGGAGTAATGGGAGTAGATGAGTCAGAATTAGTAAGACTTGCTCAAGATAGTGCAGGCTTCTGTATTATACATAGGGTTACTATGAGGCACAGACAAATCAATGGCACCTAACACCAACCAATAAACAGGACAGAAATTCATAGGGAAAGTGCATCCAGGATGTTCTTGAGACGCAAGGATAGTAAAAGTTTGTCTCATATATTTTGGACAAGTTATGACTTACCATTCCTTAGCGAAGGACATCATGACTGGAAAGGGGCATCAGTGAAAGACAGGAAGACCTTCATTAGGATGGTTTGACAAAAGAGACTGTGGCAGTGGACTCAAAGTATAGCAGAGGTGATGCGGATGGCACAGAATAGAGCAAGCTTCAGATTTGTTCTTTCTGGGTTGCTATGAATCATACTAAACTCAATGACATATAACAACAATGACAATTTAACATATTCATAGAGATAATTAGAAAACTAGATTGTAGTTGGAAATGACACTGCATTTTTTCTGTCAATTTAAAGAATTTGTTGTTAATTCATTAGGGAAGTTTTGAAAGATTTTGAGCACAGAATTATATGGAAAATTAACCTCAAGTCATTATATAAAATTAACTGGTTTAGATGGAGACTAAGGCAGAGAGCAAAGTTAGGAAGACACTTTGTGATGAAGGCCTGACGTAGTATGATGACCTCGAGAAGTTAAAAAAGAAGCAACTAAAATCAGATTTCATAAAGCCATTTGCTTTCCGACTGAATATTGGAGGGAGGAGGGAAACATCAGAAAGGACTATTGTCAACCTAAAGAAAATTTTAAAAATGTTAATTTTTCTATTCACTTTGAGTTGGGTTTTTAGAATACTGAATATCCCATGTACTTCCAAATGAATAAACAGATATATTTTGGAAAAGTGCAGCCTGATTGCTCCTTGGAGGCAAGGCTGGCAAAACTTCATCTATCTACTTGAGGGCATGATTCTAGCAGAAGCTATTCCTTTGGAGGATACATCTTGCCTGGAAAGGTGTAGGGTCAGTGAAAGAGTTGAAGACTCATTGAGATGGTTAGACACTGTGACTGCAGCAGTGAGCTCAAGTATGTTGAAGTTGATGAGGGTGGTGTGGGATAAGACGGGGTTCAGAACCACTGTTTGTAGGGTCGCCAGGAATTGTACTTGACTGAGCAGTACCTTACACAACAACAACAGCAAAGTGGAGATAACCAAATGTTGTGATGCATGGAGAAAAAGAGACATGCTGACCACTTTTATCAAATATATTAGGAAATGGAGAATTTAGAATGAGTGCTTGGTTTATTGTTTTATTTGGGATCAATAAGGAAAGGAAGTTGATTATAAAGTCTAAGTAATTCACGATGAAATTAAATTGGAGATGAAACTTTAGAGATAATTAGGGGTTTAATTTTGTTTTTTAAAGTGTGATAGTGAAGATAGAGTTGAGACAATAGGGAAAAACCATAATAGTGGGAGAGAAAGGGAGAGAGCAGTTCAGGTTATGAGGAAAATAAGTTCCAGAACTCAATTGACTGAAATTATCTTAACAAAAGGGAAAGATACTGCAGGAGAAGGGCAAGAGAGGAAAGCATTATTAAAGAAACTGCAAATAAGCTGAGTTAGGGAAAACTTGAGGGTGTTTTTGAATTGTAAAGTCCAACGTTTATCTGTAAAGAGAAAAACACATATCACAGTTGAGAGAAAGAAATGAAGAAAGTAATTGCTTATTTAAAATATAATAGTACTTTACTAGCAACTAAAAGGATTTTTTTTAGGAAAGTAATAAGTATAATGGGCATTGTCTTCATGTGAATCAGTTAATACATGTTGATTTATTGCGTAGTATTGACTATGCAAGTAAAAATATAAAATTATCTACTTTCAAATAGCTTCTATTGTGCTTACAGTGTCTATTAAATATATTGTTTTTAAATGCTTTTGAAAAATAGTAACAATAATTTGTTTTGGGTGGTTTTTATATGTATGTATATGCACGAAGCTATTTTTAGGTCACATTTTAAGATAATTTTTATACTCTTATCTAGGACACATGTATAGTTTCATGCTGTCGTGACACACTTGATATACAGTTCTTGCTATATTCTTTTTTTTTTCCATAGGCACCATCAATATAAGACATCACTTCATATTCATTCTTCCTCAGTGTTCATTTTTCCTATGCCTATAAGTTACTTAATAATACCAGAACGTGTGTTGGGTACACTTCAGTCCATAAAACTCTTTCATTTTTTTTAACATCTCAAAAACTTCTTTGGCAGTAGGTTTGCCCAGTGAAAAAGGTTTCTGATTTCTGGACTGCTGTTTCCATGGGTATTTACTGTGAGTGCATGGAAATGGATATCCTTGACAACTTCAATCTTTTATCAATAAGTAATTTCTATTGTTCTTTTTTAGTAAATTCTTTTCTCAAATGTCCTTAACATTTTATTTTCTGTATTATTTTAAATTAAGACTTGCTTTTTCCCCCACTACCAGGACGAAGTTACAATGACTTAAATCAATATCCCGTGTTTCCCTGGGTAATAACTAATTATGAATCAGAAGAACTAGATCTTACTCTGCCAAGCAACTTCAGAGATTTATCCAAGGTAAATTTACAGTAGTAATCTGGAGTATGTGATTGTACATATAAAAAGAAATTATATAACCTTTATTTTTTACATTGCTTTTTTATGTTTTGGATAAATTGATAATGTTAATATATTTACCTTATAATTCCATGTTTTAAATGTAAAAGTAAAAATGTAATTATACGTAATTAACTAATTTGATTTAAAATAATAATAGTCATATAGTATTATCTCCTTATATATTTTATTTCTGTTTATTATTTATTTTTTTATTGTGATTTTATCGAAAGTTTACAGAAAATGTGGATTTTCATTCATTCGTTGTTGCACATTTTCCTCCCTAACCCCCCAGTTCAGTTAAAAAAAAATAAATCATTCATCGTTGTATTAATTTCCTCCTCCCTACAGCCCTCTCCTAGGTCACTTTGCTATGCACCTTTTATTCTGGACTATTGTCTTGCAAATGATGCCTAATCATAAATTCCTATTAAACAGTTCTTTCATTCATCTGTTGCAATGTAGTATTCATTATTTATCTCTTGACTTCTTAGTTTTCCCCTACCGCCCATGTCAGTTCAGTTTTGTAACAGTGGTCAGGCAGTATTTGTCCTTGTGTGACTGAGATATTTTATTCAACATAATATCCTCACGGGTCACCCATATTTTATAATATTTTATCAGTTCCTTGTTTTTCAGTACTGCATAGTATTCCATTGTGTGGATATACCATAGTTTTTATCCACTCATTTATTGATGGGCACTTGGGTTACTTCCATCTCTTTGCTATTTTGAATAATGCAGTAATAGAATGTGCATATGTTTGTTTGGGTGACAGCTCTAGTTTCCTCTGGTATTTCTAGTAGTGAAATTGCTTAGTCGAATGGTATTTCTGTTTCCAACTTTTTGAGAAAGTGCTGTACCACCTTCCATAGGAGTTGTACTACCATTTTGTGCTCTTACCAGCAGTGAATAAGAGTTCTGGCTTTTCATAATCTTGCCAGCCTTTATTGTTTGGTGTTCTGTTGTACTTTGCAATTGATACTGGGGTGAAATGATGCCTCATAGTTGTTTTTCATATCCTTTTTTTAATTATTATTTTTTCTTTTTTTTCCTTCCTATACCTTTTTTCACCCTTTAATCTTTTTTTTTAATTTTATATTGGTTTATATACAAAGTTCATAAAGTTCAAGGAGAAAGATTCAGTGTGAAAAACAATGTATATTTCCTTGTTTTTTTAAAGAGGATATTGCCCCTTAATGTTAACTTTTGCTTGAAATGTTACTGTTTGAGAAAACAAAACAGAGTGCACATCATAGGATGGCACAGTGTGTAATATATAATGGAATCTTCCAGCTTCTCCTCATGGGAGAAAGATGGGAAGTTTCCTCCCATAAATATTCACATTCTCTGAAGTCCAACAGAGGGTCACTATGAGTTGGCACCCAGCCAAAGGCATTACAAAGACACAGGGAAAAGAAAGAGATCGTTCTGTCAGAAGAGATCTGAAAATAGCACTAAAGCACTGAGAAGCCAAAAAGAAAGGGAAGAGAATCTGGGAGGGAAAGCTGAACAGAAAATTTCAAAGGGCAGTTTAAGAAGAGGAATTATTATAATGGAGTGTCCAAAGAGCTAGAATTGGAGAACAAGGGAAGAACTTGCTCAGCATTTCTCAAGCTGAAAGAACTGAAAAACTAATTCAAAACTCAAATTGCAATACAGAAGAAAGTTATTGACAAAATCTTGAATGATAAAGGAAATATCAAAAGATAGAATGCATAGGATCACTGTTTCGAAAAGAATTGGATGATCCTGAAATATTTCAGGAAGTACCAGATGTTCAAGAATAATGGTAATAAAGAAACAAGTTCAAGGTGCATTGAAGACATTGGAAAAAAATACGACCACAGGAATTGATTGGATACCGATTGACATGTTTCAAATGACAAATGCAGCCCTGGGCGTGATCACCTGTCAATGCCAGGAGATTTGGAGGACAGCTTCCTGGCCAACTAAACAGGAAGAAACCCATATTTGTTCCCATTCCTCAGAAAGATGATCTAACAATGTGAAATTTAGCCATCAATAGCATTAATACAACATGTAAGCAAAATACTGCTGACAATCATTCCAAATTGAGTTGAACAGTGCATAGGCAGAGGACTGCCAGTGCACACTGGATTTAAAAGAGGCAATGTCTCCATGGATATCATTGTTGATGACAGATAGATCTGAGAGGAAAGCAAAGAGTACCAGGGAAAATGTCTTTTTATTCTTTATTAACTATGCAAAAGCATTTCACTCTGTGGATTGTAACAAATTATGGCTAACTTGGAAAGAAATAGGAATCCCAGAACACTTAATTGTGCTCATGTGATGCCCATATCCAGAGGTTATTTCGTTAATAGAACAAAGATACACTACATAGTTTAAAATTAAGAAAGGTATGCATCAAAGTTGACTCTTCTTTTGATGAACAGAAGTGAGTTTGAAATTTGACTGTTATTTTAATTGGTATAACTAAACATATTTGTTCTTGTAACATGTAAAATATTGATGAGTGTTCCCTTTAAAAAACAAAAACAAAAACCTCAGTCTTTGTACTGGTAGGAGTCTGTTTTTAAGTTACTCATTCACTCATTGTTGTCAAGTCAGAACGGACTCAAAGCTGACTGTCGAGTGAGTTTTCAGAGGCTCAAATGGAACAGAAAGAGCATGTCCAGATATGTTTTGCAGCTCATGGATTTGAATCACTCACTTTTCGATTGATAACACAGCTATCTACTAGTCCACCAGATCCCCTTTCAAATCATCCTTCAAATACATGTTTCATATTTGCATTTCCTGGAATTTATCATATACTTATAAATGTAAGATTTTATCTATATATATATGTTATGATTATAACAGAATAATGTTAAAATTTATTATATATGATACATTTGGAAAACATCATTGTTAAGTTGGTAAAATCTTAGGAATAGTGTGTCTAAAACTTAATTTAGAACAAAAATGCAACATATTGCAATTTTAAATTAACTAGTATAGCCTGAATATCTTCACAATGTACTGAATTATTTATGAATATTTAGGCCCTTTAATATCCCCAAAGTGATTTTCAGACTTTGATACAAAGCTACAGCTTAATTTGGTAATTTTTTCATGCTGCACAGGGAATTTTCTTCTATAAGCTGAGTTAATGTGATTAACACCCTTTTATTTTGTTTGATAAATTTTTTTACCGAAAAATGGAACAATGTAAAAAAAATATTGTTAAAGCTGTACAATTTTATTCCACTTTTGGTATCTCCTATCTAAAAATAATTAGGTATTTTTATGATATATAAATCAATTCTGTCAGTATGTATAAAAGGTAAATTCTTCAGTCTTAAAATTTCTTGAAAATGGAATCTTAAATAGAAAAATTTCATTTAGCATAATATAGATATAAGTTTTGAAGTTGGCTGCTTACTTCCCACATTTTCCCAATTGGTTTTTTGGTGGTTTGTTTTTGGTTTTTTTGTTTTGTTTTGTTTTATATAAAAAAAATCTGACTGATAAGAAGACAGATCTAGCCAGGCATAAAGTTTAGAGTGACACAAATCTATATTTTATAAGTATACATTGATTTTATATTTTGACAAGTTTTTGAAGAGCTAAGAACAACATATTTTCTTTGTCTTTTCTTTATAAGAAATTATAATTGGGGCAGAAAAGTATTTACAAAATGTCATACCACTAAAGCAAATGTTGGTGGCTGTGTTTTTTTGGTACTATAACTTTCTTTCTTTCTAGATTGTAGAGATTTTTTTTTCCAACTGTATCTTTTTAAATTTTGTTTGATTTTTCTTTAGTTTAGAGAGTGATTCTGTAAACTAGTTTTTTAGGAGAGAAAATATAGATTAGATGAGGCAATAATTTTTTTCTAATTGATCATTTTTAATTTAAAATATATATAATACATACTGTGTATATATTTGGAAGCAAGAGTAGCATCCACTTCCTAAATAACATTCCTCTGGAAGCTCTATGAACTTTGATAAATGTTTATAGTTGTCAAGGGGCTTCAAGCCTTTTGTTCATCAGGTCGCTATGAGTCATAGCTCAACTCAAAGGCAATCAACAACCACCATGTGTATATATACTGTTATCTGGGCATCTATCTTTAAAAACTATTTATATCTTTGATTAAAACAAAGTTGATGTTTCACTTTCAGTTGTTGTGTACTGTTGAATCAGAATTGACTCATAAGGGACCCTCCTGCTGATTTTTCAGAGGCATTAAGTCACAAGGGAGGATATTATCCTATTTTCTCTAGTGGAGCACCTGGTGGATTTGACCCAGATTCCTTTGGGTTAGCAGCACAACTCCTAACCACTAAGCCACCAGAGCTTCCTATTATACTTGCAGTATAAAGTCAGTTATCTAAGCTCTAATGGCTTAATTTTCAGGGAGTTATACTGCTCATTTGTTGGCAGTGCTATTGGCAATTCAAATCTACCAGCAACTATGTGGGATAAAGATAAGTAATCTCTTCTCATAGGATTTATAGCCTCAAAAAAGCACTAGAGGATCAGCTATGAGTTAGTTCCAACTCAATGCAATGAGTTTTGAGTTTTTTTCTATTTTGCATTTTTGAAAGGAACTATCCACTCTTTGGTTATCTTTATTAGCTAATATTTACTGAGGGCTTGCTGTTTACTAGGTTCTTGTCTAAGAGTTTTACTTGTGTTACCTCATTTTGTTCTTGGGAAAAAAGGTAGTTATTCTATATAAAGTATTTGTAAAACTAAGTATTGTGTTTTACTATGGCAAAAATTTAGATTCTGTGAGATTAAATAAGTTGCCCATGGTGACAAAAGTCTTGAATGAAATAAAAATTTGGACACTAAGTCAGTGTTTTTTTAAACTATATGTCACAGCATTTTAAAATGTGTATTGTTGTTGTTGTTGTTATGTGCCGTCAAGTCGTTTCCGACTCATAGCGACCCTATGCACAACAGCCCTAAACCCTGCTCTA